TCCAATGAAGATTACTCTAATGAAGATTACTCCAATGAAGATTACATGAATGAAAAGTACTCCAATGAAGATTACTCTAATGAAGATTACTCTAATGAAGATTATTCTAATGAAGATTACCCGAATGAACATTACTCTAATGAAGATTACTCTAATAAAGATTACTCTAATGAAGATTACACTAATAAAGATTACTCTAATGAACATTACTCTAATGAAGATTACACGAATGAACATTACTCTAATGAAGATTACACTAATAAGATTACTCTAATGAAGATTACTCTAATAAAGATTACTCTAATGAAGATTACACTAATAAAGATTACTCTAATGAAGATTACTCTAATGAAGATTACACGAATGAACATTACTCTAATGAAGATTACACTAATAAAGATTACTCTAATGAAGATTACTCTAATAAAGATTACTCTAATGAAGATTACTCTAATGAAGATTACACTAATAAAGATTACACTAATGAAGATTACTCTAATGAAAATTACACTAATAAAGATTACACTAATGAAGATTACTCTAATGAACATTACTCTAATGAAGATTACTCTAATGAAGATTACACTAATAAAGATTACACTAATGAAGATTACTCTAATGAAGATTACTCCAATGAAGATTACTCCAATGAAGATTACTCTAATGAAGATTACTCCAATGAAGATTACATGAATGAAGAGTACTCCAATGAAGATTACTCTAATGAAGATTACTCTAATGAAGATTACACTAATGAAGATTACTCTAATGAAGATTACTCTAATGAAGATTACACGAATGAACATTACTCTAATGAAGATTACACTAATAAAGATTACTCTAATAAAGATTACTCTAATGAAGATTACTCTAATGAAGATTACTCTAATGAAGATTACACTAATGAAGATTACTCTAATGAAAATTACACTAATAAAGATTACACTAATGAAGATTACTCTAATGAAGATTACTCTAATGAACATTACTCTAATGAAGATTACTCTAATGAAGATTACACTAATAAAGATTACACTAATGAAGATTACTCTAATGAAGATTACACTAATAAAGATTACACTAATGAAGATTACTCTAATGAAGATTACTCCAATGAAGATTACTCCAATGAAGATTACTCTAATGAAGATTACTCCAATGAAGATTACATGAATGAAGAGTACTCCAATGAAGATTACTCTAATGAAGATTACTCTAATGAAGATTACACTAATGAAGATTACTCTAATGAAGATTACTCTAATGAAGATTACACGAATGAACATTACTCTAATGAAGATTACTCTAATGAAGATTACACGAATGAACATTACTCTAATGAAGATTACTCTAATAAAGATTACTCTAATGAAAATTACTCTAATAAAGATTACTCTAATGAAGATTACTCTAATAAAGATTACTCTAATGAAGATTACACTAATAAAGATTCCTCTAATGAAGATTACTCTAATAAAGATTACTCTAATGAAGATTACACTAATAAAGATTACACTAATGAAGATTACTCTAATGAAGATTACTCTAATGAACATTACTCTAATGAACATTACTCTAATGAAGATTACTCTAATGAAGATTACACTAATAAAGATTACACTAATGAAGATTACTCTAATGAAGATTACTCCAATGAAGATTACATGAATGAAGAGTACTCCAATGAAGATTACTCTAATGAAGATTACTCTAATGAAGATTACTCTAATAAAGATTACTCTAATGAAGATTACACTAATGAAGATTACTCTAATGAAGATTACACTAATAAAGATTACTCTAATGAAGATTACTCTAATGAAGATTACACTAATGAAGATTACTCTAATGAAGATTACACTAATAAAGATTACTCTAATGAAGATTACTCTAATGAAGATTACTCTAATGAAGATTACACTAATAAAGATTACTCTAATGAAGATTACTCTAATGAAGATTACACATATGAAGATTACACATATGAAGATTACTCTAATAAAGATTACACGAATGAAGATTACACTAATGAAGATTACACTAATGAAGATTACACGAATGAACATTACTCTAATGAAGATTACTCTAATAAAGATTACTCTAATGAAGATTACTCTAATGAAAATTACTCTAATAAAGATTACTCTAATGAAGATTACTCTAATAAAGATTACTCTAATGAAGATTACAC